GAAAGCAAGAAAGCGTCCGCTAACCTAATCCAGTTTCTAGTAAATGTTAATCCCGCCCGTATAATTATGATAATAATTACCCCTAACCTTCCTAGAAAAAAAATGACGCCAACCGCCATGTTCGCCCTTTTTCGATATGGAACCGTCTGAGCCCACAGCGGGGAGGATGGGTAGGTATTCGTTAGCAGACTCGGCCCCACACTACTGTGGGAGAGGAGCCTACTGCGCTCATCCTACCCAAACAGTCGCTACTTAATGCAGAGTAGCACCGTATTGTGGAGCAGGGTTGGCGAGGGCGCACTGAAAGTGAGGAAAGGAGGCGGCTGGCACGGTATAGGTCCTCATGATCTCGGTGAAGAAATTCGTATTGTCTTGCCACGAAGAACTTGTCGTCAGACTTTATTCAGGTAGCATGAAGTGAATGATGATAGTGTTTCCCAGCATGCTGCCCTGCGGACATCTTCTGGACACCGCCAAAAATGTGGATAAGGTAGATAGATACTGCTCTAACGTCGTGGGCTGTGATCGATTGGCAGGGTTGGTGAATTAGAAAGGTCGTAGTGTCCCTGGTTGCCGCTTAATGAGGTTTATCGACGTAATGACGGAAAAAGAGGGATAGTACCTCTCAGCGTTGAGTCCTGGTCAGATACCATTGTGAGAATTTTAACAGGACGGCAAGGTTTCCTTTTAAGAGAACTTGAATGCTCTGTGGTGTTCAGGATGAAGACGTCTTGGGGGATGAATTCAAATAAGACCTTGAGCGGGCATCCAGGGCTAGGATGAAATAGACGCCGTGGTGCTACCATTCCAAGCAACCTTCCGTGAAGGACACTTTTGGTAATCCACTGCCTAGTTACTAGGGGTAAAGGGGGGCTCTCCTCACCAAGGCGAGTGAGATGATGAGGTCTCAAGGAAAGGCCCCCGAGGAAAACCTTTGGAGAGCTCAAGGACACGAGACAGGCCCCAACCACGAAAGAGTTGCATCAAAGGGGAATTCTCGATGAATATACTAAGAGAATACCTGAGGGCACGGTTGACCAAGGAGTGGTTCTCACGTGTTAGGTCTTACATTTGCATAGAGTAGCAACGTCTGGTGGAGGAGGGGAAGGGTGAGGTTGCCATTATTAAAGGATCTGCCACTGCCAGGCAATATATAGTAGCATGTCCCCATGCAGAAAGTGATAGAAAACGGCAAATATGAATAATGGGGATTCACCCATCAACGAATTCGGATGGCTGGGTGAAAGTGACAGTTTCCCCATCTTGACTGGTGACATCACACCCCACCGTCCCGTTTAGCATCCGAATGTAGCACATCCTTCAGATAGCACGAAACGAAAGTTGACGGCGTTTTCCCAGCGACCGCCTTTAATTAGAACACCTTTCAAGAATGCCCATGATGACACTGCTCTTGTATCACGGGCATGGGGAGTGGTATCAGTCCGTGTAGCCCAATTCGGCAAGGACATGTTGATTGTTCTTACTATTCATCGGGAGATTGTATCCTTTGATGTCCCGAAGTGAGGTTGGGTTGCTGTGATAAACAACTGAGTAGTTTCACCCCGTAGGGTTTTTATCAGTACCACCTGAGAGCTCAGAATGGGCACCAGGGTTTAGCGTTGTTGACTGGAGAAAGGGTTTTATCTGCGGGCTGAAGGATGGAAAGAAAACGACCGATTCTTTGCCATGAAAACTTCACGGGGGAGTAATTTCACACCATGTGGTTCCCAACTAATATGACCATGTTCTAGAGTAAAGGTGTGAAGTTCGCTGCGATTGTCAGCAGTAACCACCCGCTGCTAGGTGCATCTGTTCGTATAGATCGCTTTGACAAAACTCTGCCCATTAGGCGGAGTGTCTCCGGATTTGGTAGTAAAATTCGGGAGGGTGGTTAAGCCAGAAGGTGTTCCTTCTGAGGCAGTACCATCGGAGAGCAAATGAGAAGGTGGATGAGCCCCTGTGACCAAGGTAGGCGAGGCCAAAACGGGGCAATGGGAATGATTATGCAACGTTCTGTCCTCCTCAAACCCTTGGAAGGAGAGAGATTGGCGGGAACGCGTAGCCGAACATGACTGTCAAGTTTACTGAAGATGCATTTACTGTCTAAGCGATCGGGACTACGTGCGCAGTATACTGGTAAGTGGTTGAAGGCTGAGGCAAACAGATCGATGTGTGGGCGATCCAGCCTTCGGAAGATACGTTGTGCTACTGACGGGCATAGGGGCCATTCTGTCAGGATAACCTTCCCTCTGAAAAGGGCATCCGCCATGAGGTTTAGTTTTCCCGCGAAATGTGTTGCTGTCAGGGCTATGTCGATCTAGGTGCACCATATTAGAAGGTCCCAGGCGTGCGTGCATAGCTGACGAGGCAAGACCTGGCAGTTTGGTCGGAGATAACAATGGAGTTGTCTCAATAGATCATTACTGTTTGGCCTGTTATCGACGAATAAAAGTGGGTCAGTTCTTTCTACACAGCTAGTATCTCGAGGACATTGGTTTGGTAAAGGTCCTCGGCCGTGTTCCAAGTCCCCGAGATTAACTTCGTGCCGAGATGTCTTCCCCAACCTTGACAAGATGCATCCGTTACTCGGGTCACAGTCGGCTTGCTTTACAGAGATTAAAAATTGACCTACCTAGAGATTGCGGAATTCTGTCACCATCGAAAGCGACTTTGAATATGTTGACCTCCTGCAACAGGACGTCTTCACAAATGAATCTGTCGCTAATGGGACAGAACATGGAGTTGGATGGATCGCAATTTTGACTTGCACCATGGTACAATATCGAAAGTGCAACACACTCTATTCGAATGTCGACTGTGTTCAGTGGGTGAGGCCGTGCTGTACACAAAATCTATTTCTGCCCCAAGATAACAGGATTTATGGAGGGCTCTAGCCGAGATATTTCTGGCTCATCAGAAACCCCAAACGACCAGTCAAAAAGTTTTTGTTAAACTGACCGCATGGTTGATTGAACTGCTTTGTGCTCAGTCATCTGTGACAGTGAAATGGATTTTTCGGTGTCATAAGAAAGAGGACATTATTAGTTAATAAAACGTTGTTACCAATTTCCAAAATACTTAGCCATTTCCAAGAAATGAAGAAATTAATCTCGATTTCTTTTTTGTTGAACACACAGTACAGGAACCGAAGAAATTTGGCGTGCTCGTTACGAATTCAGACATAGAGGAAGGCATCCTGTAAGTCCAGTGAGGCTGCCTGGGCTGGTACAGTTCGGGCATCGAGGACAGTGCGCAGAGTTTCCATCAGGAATATTTTCGGGCGGATGTATCTGTTTTAAGGTTTAAGGTTCTAGAATGGGACGCCACTCGCCAGGGGTTTTCTTTGGTGTATATTAAGTACCCACATGTCTTGACAAAAAGGGGGGCCAGGTCTTTGCGAAATGTTTGAGACGGCCGCGTACTGGCCCAGAATAGGAGGCCACAAGAGTTGCACTCATTGGTATCCGCAATAAATCGTCTTGGGGCGAGGGGTGTATGAGGGTCGAAATGCTTGCCCTTGTGAAGATGAAGTGGCCTCCATCCCTGGATGATACCATGAGCCTGCCTGATTGAGCTGTTGGTGAACGTGGAGGCTCGGTCACGTCCAAAAAGGGACTTCGGAGGTTCACAAAGAAATCGTTCACTGGAGCCGGTGGCTGATAGTTTCCCTTTGGCTGACGCATGTATGGTGTCTGAGCAAGACGGTTGTCTGGAATTAATTCTATCAGTAGCCTCCAAACACTTAGTTTCAGCTTTCACAGCGTATTAAAATTATGTTTTCAAGAGGGGAAGAGACTCGAGTCGCGTCCTTGCCCCAACGGAAGTTAGAAAAATTGCATCCAAGGCATTAGCCCAACAAACTAAGGTAGCAATCATGGCAAAGCAAACAAATTGATCCATGCAAAATCAAAGCAGTCGTCTAAACAATGGAAAACCAACAATAGAGTCTGTCTCGCATGAACAGACCAAGAACTCGGACAACAGCTGCAGAAAACAAGACACCTGCAGACACGCGTGAGCCGCTGTGTCTCATTTCCCAAATGCGTCTTAAATTTTGTGTCTCTCAAGGCTGGTATTAGGGGATTTGTGTGACGAGTGGCCGGCGGAATCGGCCGTTATTTTATCTCTGACGGTGTCTGGCATTGTCGGCACTGCCAGAATATCATCGAAGTGGGACCGCGGCGCGGCACCCGGAAAGGCCGAAAATCGTTTGCCCCAAAACGGCGATCGGTAGGAAAAACAAGGAAATCTGTTTCTTTGAAGGAACAGGGTTTCATTAAGGTCTGTATTGGATGATCATAGGCGGAAAGTATTTGCACTTTGGATGACTCGTCCTCAAAAGAGATAGCCTCGGAGTGTAGTCTGAACTCACGTTTCTTCGTTTACCGGAGGTAGGAGCTGGAGGCCCGGAAGGCGTAGCCCTATTCCCTGATTCCGATGTACAGGAGGCCAGAGACCTGGAAAGCGTGGCTCCTGTACATGTAACCGCAGGCCAGAGTCCCAGAGAGCGTGTATCCGGTACGGGAGTGGCTCTGTCTGCAGGCCTGGAAAGCGTGTCTCCGGCCCCGGTAAAGGAATTAAGCCAAGTAGTTACCGAGTCCCAAGTAGTTACCGAGTCGAGCTCTAGGGTTAATGCAGTGACACGAGCTGCATGTAACAGACTTATGTAGAGTGACGCCCTGATTTTTATACTCTTGTATGACTCCGCCGTGTTAAATCATTCTTTAACGAACTACTCGTGATTTTTCAGTGGCAAAAAACGGAAAAGGAAAACAACAAATTCGTAAGAATTATCTACAAATGAAAGCAAACCACACATACTTGGTGGAATGAACTTATGCTGTAAAAACATATACAAGAACTAGCGATAATGAAGGGGAAATTCGCAAGCCTTCGAGGAGCGTGAAAATAATACGTCTAACCCGTTCGACCGCTAGAGAAAAAGAGAGCGAGAGTACCAGAGTAATATCGGCGTGAGGTGTTGGGTGCTATTGACTGTGGTATAAAATTTAGCATTTAGGTACCTCAGCTACTGAAATATGCAAATTTAAGTCTTCACACGTCAGGGAGTCCCAGAAGTGGACTGTGGTGGGTGGTACGGGGGGACTCATCTTCTTACCTGTACTATGGCAGTAGCAGCGGAGGTTCCAGAATTGCTTAAAACGAGTCAACGAGACGTTCGTAATAAAGGCAGTGCTCCTTCCACCAGGATGTCTTCATGTAGCAAGATGTCTACTCCAAATACAGACGGCGTAGAGTGTGGTACCTAGCCAACCAGTCTGGTCATGATGGAAGACAGCGTACTTGTCAACACTACAGGAGAGGAAGAAATAAATGAGTCCATCACAGAATAAAGAGAAGGGCAGCATTGTTATCATGGTCAATGACGCCCCTCCATGATATCAATGGGAACCTCCACGCACTGTCGAGATGCACCTAACCTCGAGGCCACTTACATTAAGTACAAAACTGGTCACGAGAGGCCCATTCACCAGATTTCTCTGTGAACTGTTTAAAGTGTTCACCTCCCTCAATAATATAGTTGTTTAACTTAATAGTTTTCTATCCTTGAGGTCAAGTTAATTGCTGTAGCTGAAGCGAATTAATTTGAATGTACTTTATTTTTAGACATCTTGTACTCCAATTAGATTAGTTCTTTGTGTTCTTCTAAGAACTGTTTTGGGTCCTTTTTAACGTTTGAACTCTGTAATTCTGTGAATTCTGGTTAAAATGAGATCTGTTGGATTGAATGAAAAGGGTAAAAAGGACTTTTCCTTGCACACATAAAATTTGAAAAATAATTAACCCTTTTAAAATCGACACCAAAATAATCTCACTTCTGGGTGTATCATTACCAAGCAGAGAGGGATAAACATGGCATACATTTCTTGATGAATTTTAACCCTCACACACCTGTGCGCAACAGACTTTTATTTCAAACTTCCTGTGCTAACTGAAGTGTGAAACGTGAACCACGAAACTGGCATCAATCAAAGCAGAACTACACCCTTCACCAACGGGTACAACCAGATTTTTGAAACTTGGTCCTATGTCATTTTTATGGTCCTTTTTCTGAGAGTCTTTTTTTTTCTGATACACCCTGTAGGTATATCACAATACTTTAAAACCGGTGTTACCAAGAGAGTTTTATAGCACTTGACAAATGATCTCATGAGGGTGCTTGTGGGGCAATGACAGCTGCTGACTGTTTCCCATTGACTTTGTTGAATACATCTTCAGATGATTGTCAGAAGGCTGTGACCAAACACGTGTAAATAAACTCGCTTTATAAAGCATAGAAAACGAACAGTTTCCCCTGTTTTGCATGAAAACAACCATACAGGTAACCTTTGCCACAAATCTGCAAAAAGTTCACACGAAGTATATAACAGGTCCTAGACTGACATTGTTTGGCTAAATTACTAGGAACTATGTGACTTTGCCCTAAATTTCCAAAGAGTCCACATGAAACTCCTAAGAGGGCCATAACTGGAAATGTTTGGCTTAAATAGTCGGAAAAGTCAGGGAACAAATTAAAACAGTAAAAGTCAAGTTTCCAGAAAATGATCAAACAGTACAATGACCACTGGCCTGGGTGACTTGAACGTGAAATCTAGTGGAATGATCCATATGAAGCATGCAAGAGGCTCATAACTGAAACACAGCTAAAATCGGCTAAAGAATGCAGGAAAAGACACTGCTTTATGATTTTCATCAAATGATGGCTGGTGACCACAACGTATCCTTTGGTCAAATTCTAGGTTCATTGTATATGAGGCTTGGTCTCAGGAACCAACTGACCAAGTTTGGCCTTCATTGGAAGAAGACTGCAGGAAAACAAGCATTTTTAATTTTCAATAAAACCACTAGGTGATCTCTGACCCCAGACAGAGGGTTCCACGTACTAAGTTTGGGTGACTTGTCTTCATGGCCAAGCTTAGTTGAAATTGGTCAAAGAGTTTGACTGCGCCCAAAGTAGCATCTGACATGAGTTCACTGGGTGCAGCCATTTTGACTTATGTCACATGGCAGAGCACGCATGCGCTCAACA